CCACAAATCAAAGTTTTGTCCATCTTCATTTTTATCTCCATTTGCCCCAAATTTTTTAGCAAAAGGATACAAGCAGCATATTATTGTTAACAGGCTGAAATCTGCAAGCTGTCACACCACAGGAATGACTGTCGTTTACAACACGCAAGCACTGGCCCGAAGAGGGGTCCCAAACTCTTGCGGTACAGTCCAGTGATGCTGATAATATGAAGTCATTTGTTATCGACCAGTCAAAGTCTATATTATGAGAAAGAAAACAACAGAAAAAAGTTATTGTTCTTTCTTCCAAGGATTTACTGATTTTCAAACAAAAATGTAACACGTTTACAGCAACTTAAAAGCAACTGGAGCAAAAGTAAAAACAATAACGACTTATGAATTAATTGCTGTCGTTTCCCACACTTGTAGGTAGGAGCCAGTTACAACAGAGCTACTCGAAAACAACCGACTTGAAACCGGGATTAAAACCAACCAAAAGTCTCAAGAGTACGTCTATAGTCTGCCATGTCGAGTTTCCTCACATTTTAGGAAGAAGTAGAAGTCACTGAAGACTGTTCAGATCCTCGGCAGGGAAATTATTTCATTGACGTTGTTTGTTTCAAGGATTATCGCCATCGCCATCTCTATATTACACGAGTTCAGGTCTGTTTCATCTTCTCCGTTGTATTTTGAGATTATAAATTCAGCGTGCAAAGAAAGTAGTGTCCGATAGCCCGGGGCTAGTGGATTTTGCTATCGGGCTAGTGAATTCTGTTATTAACTTGCCCGACGGGCAAGTGAAGTTTTTTGAGGAATTCCAATTACAGAAGAACTGTGAAATTAATCTGCTCATCAAAACGTTTTTGGGGCTAGCTGAAATGATGTTTGGGCTAGAAGATGTTTGCTTCACATGCCCGAATGGCAAGCTGCAAAAATGACTTTCTTTACACCCTGATAATGTTTGTATGTTCTGACTATTTTTAATATGCCGAAATTTCGTTGTTGCTCAGTCGATTTTTCTCCACAAACACGGTTTTTTAAGCTTACAGTTTGTCTCCTACTCTTTATTTTCTTGGGAAAACAATGCATTTTCAGCCATGTGTGATGTTTGTAGAAAACTGGTCAAACCGGTCTTCTGGAATACATACTGTGAGATATTTGTACTCGTTTTAAGCGTTATTTGTACTCTACTAAGTGAAGTTGCATCAAGAAAAAGCAATACTATAAGGTACAATCAGAGGTACAGTGTTACCCATGATAGCAGCTGTGTGTCCTCTCAGTGTACAAGACACGGACGGAGGTGAAGGTACAAGCGCACAGACTGACAGAGTGCCATCAGTGGAGCTACATGCTAACAGGTATTTATCGTCATGTGCAAATTTAATAGCTGTCACTGCAAGCAGAAAACAACCAAGAATAAGCCATAGACTGTACACGAATATAAAATGAACTTTGTTGCAAGACATCATAGGCAAGTCTGCAGTGAACAGGACATTATGGTGCTTCATCTAGTATGAGACAAAAAAGTAGGTATGTCGAAGGTATTTTGAAAGTTTTTTACATTTCCTCATCGAGAACCCTAATCTCTGCCTACCGCCCTGATGAGTGGATGTTGTGTACCACGTAATTTGAAATAAACAAGTTAATGTATGTAGGATTAGTTACAGTACCCCTTTTTGAAGGCATTTTTCTCTAGAACACTCTCCTGTGCAGAACATGATTGAAAGTTATTTAAATTTATTTTAAAGAATTTTCAATGCCTTAGTGTACAAAAATAACATCTCCAGGCTACATTGACAATGTTGTTCAGATTATTAAAATAAATGTCGCTTCACATTTAAAAAGTTAAATATTTGAACTGATCCTTACCACTTTTTGCATGTTGATCAAAGATGTGATACATGCCAGCAAATGCATAGTTCTCACCCAAACTTGTGTTTCCTGCCATTCGCCTTGTGGAAAGTAACCAAATAAGAGAAGTCATTTACATGTATTTAATAAGGGTCTGCTTTTCTACTTAGTTTTAACATAGTCAAACCCTGATGAGCAAAAATCTCTGTTAAGCAAAGACCTCTAAAAAGTGATGACCAACTTAAAGTTCTCAGTAAAAGAACTATGTTTGGAGCAACTCTCACAAGCAACCTCCTCTTGAATGTGACCAACAAATATCTCAGTATAATTTTGGGAGGTTTCATTGTACTCGTTTCCACAGTTAAACAAATTTTCTTACACTGCATCAATTCAAATATATCTGGTGATTCTCAACGGTGTGTAATTTTAATACATAATATTAATTTTCTGTACTGTTTCCAATCAGTTGCCCTCCTCTGGTGATATTGAAATGTTCTGAAGAAGAACGCACTTGAAATAACAGCTTTAGAGTCTGAGCTACAGTCTTAATGTAACTGTCTTGAGGCCCCATTCAGGGCTCGAAATTAATGCTTGCAAACTCGCAAAATGCAAGGGATTTTGATAATCTGTGAGTGAAGAAAATGTCCACTAGCAAACGTTTGTGTCACTTAAACAAAGGGAAAGAATTTGCTAGTGGTCTCACTATTTTGCTAGTGAAAAAAATCGTACTAGTAAAACTTTGCAAGTGCACTAAAAAGTTAACTTTGATCCCTGCCTTTTCTTGGGATAAGGGATCATAAATGTATGTCCCTAATATGAATTTCAAATTTTGGCGAGGATGCCATGTCCCTGTCAGGATTTGCCTGTTATATTGCATTTGCACACGTCTTTGCCACCTTTTAGTTTCAATCCATCTTTGTTTTGTTTGTTATCATTATTTTAATCTGTCTGTAAATGTTTCAAGGCAATGATTTACCCTGGCAGTACTTCTAAATTGCACTCAAGTGTTATGTAATCACCTGCTGGCCTCAGCTTTGCGTGTGGGTACTACACCTCTTGGAGGGGACTCTGGCCGATCCGGTGGAGGCAGGAATTTGAAGGAGCCGCCACTGTGGTAACGCCTATGAGTGGGCTTGTTTGGGGTATGTCCTCCTTCAGGTGAATCAATGTGAAGAGAGTCAAAGCTGGTCTGTAAAAAGAGATTAATACCTTTAAGTATATAACAAGGTTTCCTCCGGCTATAACCTTCTCTGTTATACAGCTAAAACTACAAGTACTTGCAAAAAAAAGTTACAACACATCCCTGCCAAAGATACTGACTGAGAAAATTACCAGAATCTTTTTTAAAAAAACATTTACAGGTCAACTCTTATAGCTGAGTCCATGAGACAATCGTTTTCAAAAAAAAATTACTTTGTTTTACCATGCCTATAAGACAAGCTAATAATTAATGTTTGTTAATTCACGTTTGCATTTATGCATGCTTACCTCAAAAGAGCTCAATTTACTATAAGTGCTTGCACTTCGACTTCTGAAAATGAATTCAAAGAAAATATGATTGCAGGTGACAAGAGGAGCCAGCAATCCTAATCTCCAGGTTGTTATTATGCATCTGTCACATATATGTAGCCAGCATTCATTTGGACTTTACTTCCACTAAGAATGAAGGGGCTGATCGCTTGTGTTTGGACCTTCTATCACTCATAATCTGATCACGTGTGTTTTGGCTATCTGTCACTTCTGATTGGCTGAAAATTTGCTTCAACTAATCAAGAGCATTACCCAGATCCGGGTAGTGATGCATTCATCAGAATAGAATGTCCTTAATCGTTTCTCCAACATCATTTTGCAGGAAACAAGTGATAGCATCATGAAATGTCAGCTGTTTTCCCAGGCTATGACTCAGTGATATCTGTACTGAATTTTACAGCTTATTGAGTTGGTAGCTAGACAGCACTTTATCTTTTCATCTAAAGGGGGAGGTCAACAGTACCAACTATCTAACAATGGTATGAAGCAATAATAATATTGTGTGCTACTTTCTTTTTTAGCTAACTAAAGCACATATTACAATCACCAGTGTTTTTATTTGCTGCTATGCTGGACCCATGCATTCCGAAAAGATACCCAAAGTAAAAATCCAACACATCGTGGGTTTTAAATTTAATAACATTTCTTACCGTGATAATGATGACTCAGATGGTCCATATCGCTTTGAAAGCAGCTGTCTTCGTAAATAAAGATACTGACGACGACAAGAATGATCTGCTTTCTAAAATAGTTTCAAATGACCAGAGTTAGCTATAGGCCTTACTAAAAATCTTGAATTAAATAAATAAATAAAAATATCGTTCTAATGAAGCCTTAAAGTGCTGTTGAAAAAATTAAAATTGAGATCCAAGCTTTTGCAGATTGACAGCATCATCAGGGATGAGAAAATAATCGACGTGGAGTAAAAATAGACAATAAATGAATAAAAACAATAAAATAATAATACCTCTTTTTTCGCATTTTCTCTTAGCAGTTGATTCCTCCTTCTAATATACAAAGTTCCTACATCAATCGATGGAAAAACATCAGAGTGCAATAGTCTTTCAAGGTGAAAAATATGAACGGAATAAGTAGGTTATAATAGTCCGTCCGACAAGACAGAGGTGGCAGGGGGCGGGGGGTGCGGATAAACAATGGAATGTCCCATTAAGTACCGTATCTTAATTTATAACCATGCCAGTGATTAGTCTCAAATTTCTCCATGCAAAACAGAATGGTCATGAGAATCAAGAATATGATCACACAAGATAAACTGAATTTACAGTTTTACAGTTTCTCCCAACTACTTCTTTTGGAGATATGTATACAAACAACAGATGGGGATTAAAATTTTGGTTTGAAGGGTTCGTCCTAAGGCTGGCTAAATAAATAAAAGGTGGTTTCAAAATTCGTTACTTACGATACTGAGGATTATTTTGAACTCTGTAAGCGTTGTATCGAGCGTCTAAAGCTAAAATCTGCTGAGAGATGTTCATCTTAAGCTTCTATTGCAATCAGCTGTTTTGATTATTTCGCTCAGCCGCCATCTTTGATCATATGAACAACAATGCATATCGTACCTCATGTATGTATATTCTGAAAACGGCACCCGAAGTTTCGCGGGCTCATTCAAATCAAAGATGGCTGTTGTCCCTGCTGTTGCAGAAGAAACGTTTTTATCTGATGTCCATCTCTATACACCCTTTTTTCAAACGTCCAAGAACAATGTTGGTATGTAAAGTCGATCTGATACGAAGCAATCTGTTTTTGATCGATAATAATTCGCAAAAAGAGTTAATATTTCTACCATGTAAGCTAATATAATAATCTAATTATTTTCATTTTAATTATTAATAAATTATAATAATTTCTATATCTATATCACAGCAATATTCATTGTTTTATTTAGAGACAATACAGTAACTTCCCAAGCAAATAAACCTGGGGATACAGTATTTGGTGTACTGGACCCATCCCCTGAGGTTTTCCAACCTTGGCACTGTTATTTGCTAATTGCAAAATAACCATGTGTACAACTTAGGAATGAACCACTTTAGTATAATGATGGGGACGGGTTGTGGGGGGGGGGGGGGGGGGGGGGAGTTTGGGGGGGGGAGGAATTTTTCCCCTTTCTAGGCCCCCTTTTTTTTATTTTTTTTTAAAAGCGGGGGAATTTTTTTTTATTTGTTGTTTTTTTTTTTTTTTTTGACCCTTTTTCAGACTTTCCACACCCGTTTTCAGACCTGATATTCCAATTGAATGCCCCACAGGAGTCCCAAGCTCAAAGAAAATCGGTGTGGCGTTGCAAGACTGTGTATAGAAATAACATACTGAGGTCATTAGTTTTATTTTTATTTTTTTCTATAAAACTGGGAGACTTGCCTTTGATGTACCCTGTGATTTTGGTGTGAATTTAACGATTTAGTTGAAAACAAAAACCGACTAAACCGAGGAATTCACTCCAAGAACAGTTGAATACATCAAAGGTAAGAGTCCTTTATTTATTTTATAGAAAAAAAATAAAACTAATGATATTTAGCGTTTGCAGACCTCTCGTCAGTATTTTATTTCTCATACAGGCTCAACGGTCGCACCGACTCTCTTGTGAGAAAGTAAATTTGCACGTAAGCTTTTGAATCTCAATACTGCGGAAAATTTATTTTAACAGCGTGATTGATTAAATAAAACCAGTTTTTAACTTTCCCTCTGATGAATCACCACATGTACAGCATCTTTAGAAATAGAAGCCTTCATTAATTCAACAGCAGTCACAGCTTAATATAATTTATATCCTTACTGTAAAAGGCCATTTCCGCATTCTTTTAAATGGCTTATCCTTGACATTACATATTGCGCTTACGATGTATAATGTATCAAAAACATCAATTTTATCTCATTCAGATTGAACGCATAGCAAATCCCTCCCCTCGAACAGAGAGAGATTGTTAATTACACGATTGACAATCGTTAATATCGTCATATAGTCGAATTATAATCATCAGTCATAACTCGAATTAATGAGTATTGAGAGCTAAAGTTTATCTCGGTAAGCTTTACAACTGTAATTGTCACTAAAATAATTATAATATAGTGATTTTGAGATGACTATTGATGTACATTCAAGCCGAAGCAACCAAGAATAGAGAATGAAAGATTTCAAGAATGGGTAACAGTTTTGTCCTGTTTACGCAGTTGTTGATGCGAAGTTGTTGATGCATGTCCGTCATCGTGACGGACATGCTACACTTCATGACAGAAACATGCAGTGTTCTTTTCCTCTTGGTCATCGGGCTCTCGTCGTCTCTCGGCTATCCCGGCGACAATCTCGGCATCGTCATCGAGTGTCTATGATCATGGAGGTGGTTGTTGGAACATACGAGCAAGTTCTTGTTGGATTTGATATACTTACTGCGGATGACGAGCTTGAGGTAACATGCACATACTTAACATAACATAATGAGGGCTTATGAGTGAAACAATTTGATTCCTTTTGCTTTTTCCCAAGCAGTACAGGTTGAAACCAAAATTCGCTGAGAAGGAGCATACGGGTTGTATCAAATGTGCAGCTAACAACGGGGCAGTTCTTGCTACAGGGAGTTCGGATGAAACGATACGGCAAGTGATTTTTTTGTAANGTTATTTTATAAAAGCAATAGAAAACTTTTTTCCTGTGTTTGCATAGCCTGATATAAACACTCGAGGCGTTGGGAGAATTCTCGACAGTTATGCAAACCCTCGACTTCGTCTCGGGTTTGCATAACTGTCTCGAATTCTCCCAACCCCTCTCGTGTTTATATCAGGCTATGCAAACACGGAAACCGTTTTCTATTGCTTAAATGTAAGATTTTACAAGTTATCTCAGTTATTTTAAGAATAATGTTTGTCACGAGTACATGAAGCTTGCGAATGCGACGACCGGCAATATGTCTGAGTTCGCAGGCTAAAGTACATAAAATTTTTATTCTATAGATAATGACAAATCGTTGCTTTAATCATTCTTTCTTGCTTTTATTTTGCTCTTGTTTTGCTTACATGTACTAGAGCATAGTCTGTCCACGCCAATGAAAGATGTGGGACTGCAGGTGATTATTGATTATCTAGTCCCTTTTAAATTGAAAAAAAAAAGACAGTAACACAGGAAGAAGAGAGAGAAATGGCTTTTCTATGACTCAATTTTGCTTGAAAAGGGTCTGGTTTTAGCCTTATGATTCTTGTAGGTTTGAATTTGTGGTTTGTAGGTTTTAGAGGCAGTGTTAGTGGCCAGTCGTTCAGCAAGCAAAAAAGTCAAGTCTGATATTTCAGGACCAGTGGTTTCCATTTTTTGTTTTGTTTTTTTTTTTTTACACGTCTGCAGCTTATAGGTTTTGATCAAGTGCTTTTTGAAGGGACTTATTATCAGAGAGAAATTAGATTTCTAAAAATGGCTGTTTACAGATTGGAGAGAAATTCCTGTTAGAAATTTTTCAATATGGTAATGATAATAATCATTAGGGCATTGACTTCAACCACAACAGCAAAAAACTTCATTAAAGATGGAGAACCATACCAACCATTTATAAATGAATACTTACAATAACCTTCAACTAACAACAAGCAATGGTAGTTTATAATACAGCTGTGGTTCACAGAAATTATATGGGTGAAAACTCACATCTGGATTTGCCTCATATACTATAGTTCCAATATGGTTAGGTATGGTTAAGGTTTCTGTATCAGGGCATTTCCCAATATAAGCCCCTGGCTGGGGGTTTCTGTATTTTTTTTTTTTTTTTTCAATTTCACATTTTCATCTGCTTTCAAAATCCAAACATAAGATACTTGATGGAAGAGCAAACTGCTCTTGTTCGGTAAAGGCCGCCATTGGAAAAGAAATTGTTGCTGATTTATTGTAAAGCCTATGATGGGAAAGATTAAAGAGAATAATGGATACCACAGAGTTTTCTTTGCTCTTTCCTACATTATAGTTTAGAATCTGTATCAGCACACTGTAAATGCCACCTCCACCTTAACTGAGATAGCCCTTACACTTCAATAGTTGTTCAAACTTTTGTAACTACACATTATATTCACACTCTTTTGTCTTACTCTTTTTCTGCAACCAGGTTTGGAGGGGAGCTCTCTTACTTTCTGACTTTTTAGTTTACAATGAAGAAAGGTACAATCCTGTTACTATGTCATTTTTTCTCTTCAAGCAAGCCTCACGGTACCAGATTTTTGTTGTTGTAACAGTTGTTGTTTTACGGTTCTTACAAAAAAAGCCATCAAAAAAATTACTTCTTCCTGATTCTGCAGATTTAATAAGTGCATTGCGTTGGAGCTTGGGGCAGGTCTTGGTTTATGCAGTATTGTATTGGGAAGAGTGGCCAAAAAAGTGTTTTGCACAGGTATGCTAAAAACTGCTAGCGAGTTTTAGTACCTACCATGCGAGTTCTAGCTTTGGAAATAACCAGTGTCACAACCGAGTATGCATGCAGTCTTAAATGTCCACACCTGTTGTCGTCATAGCGCAATGTCTATTTACCACAGTTTCAAGTAAAGTGCTTGTTTGGCAGAATTATATGGCATGAGGAACTTGTGAGATGATTGAAATAACTAATAAATCCTTCATGTTGGTTTATTTCATATGCCTACTTTTTATGGTTCCAAACAAAATATGGTTTAGGTATTTCTTTCCTACCTGTCATAACATAATGCACAAACACATTTTTGATCTTTGCTGCTTTGTAAACCAGTAGGTAAATGAATTTAAAAGGGGCGTTACATGAATAATTATGTATATAAAGTCAACTGGTAGTTTTTCCAGTCTTCTGAACTGTTAAGAACCACTGCTTTTTATTTTAGGTCACTAGGTTATTTGCATGATATGATTTGAATGTTACCTTGCCTTTGTATTATATTATCAGATTTAAGGGAGAATATTCTTCGATGTTGCCAGAACAACATAACTGCAAATTCACATCTCTTCAAGTACGGTATGTGGTATATATCAGGGGAGGAAACTGTGGAAAGTTTTTCAAGAGATTGAAAAACTTTTTGAAAAACTCTCCACATTTTCCTCCCCTATATACTACTGTTTAAGGGGCTTTAACTGATTTCTCAGTTTCTTTAAATTGTTGGCTATAAACAGAAGATTCATTTTAAAATTGTAAGAGCAGTGCATTAAATAATTCAATTTCTTTATTTAAGTTGGACCCTGAGGAATAGACGTTATTCTAATCTGAAAATGTAGCAATATTTTTGGCGGTTCTTGCAACTTGGTTTACTTGGCCCTTTCCGACTTCTCAACACCCCCACTTTCAAAATTTGGACAAGTGCAAAACCTTTCATTTTACAATGAGTTTTATTTTCTTGCGAAAAAAAATCCACATTCTTTCAAAGACTTCGAAAGTAACCAAGAATGAAAAGCAAAACCACGACTATAAAGTAATCAGTTCAGTGTCCGGATCTCTAAATTTACCGTCCTTTATTCACGCACTGAGGCAGAGCGTCGTTTTGAAACAGAGTCTAGAGGCAACTGGGAAATTGTCTACAATGCTTGGTAAAAACCAAACCGAAATCATTACCAGTTAATCGACATTATACGGTAGAAAATCAATAAAATCTCCAAGCAAAGACATGTAGGGCTGAAGTTCGGTCCGACACTTGTGAACAAGACAAGAAAGTTTTAGCACTTAAAGCCGGTATAAAAATGCTCATCAGCAGTAACTTTCGGTAAGATTTTCCCTGGACTTCGGAGACTTTCAGTGAAAAAATATCACGTGCATGTAGTCCGATTGTTAAAGAAAGTGACGTGAGTTGTCTCAGCCAATCACAATGTGTAAAAATGCAGAACTAAACAAATCACAAAATTGTTTTCGACACTGAATTTAATACTGGTCTAAGTACGCAATTATTATATTTTGTTATTATATAGGTTATGACGTTGTTGCAGTTCGCAAGTTTGACTGGTTGGCATCAGGGTTACCTACAGGTAGGTATGCTGGCATTTAGTTCCGCTTGGCATGGTAGATGTGTCACTTGTTTTACTTTGTTAACCGCCAAACAAAATATTTCCTTTTTTATTTAGGTGAAGGTGATTTCTGTTGGACGAAGGAAGATCAAGAGGTTTTAAAAAACGCGACTGTAGTACTGGCCGCTGATGGTGAGTTTGCCTTTCGCATATGCGAAGAAGCTGGCTGGAGTAGCCTGAATAAGTCAATAAGTTCGTTTAGATACATGAGAAAAGAGGTCTCTAAACAAGCAGACCATCAATCCATCATAAAATCCCGGCTGAAAATTTCGAAAGTTCCACCTATGAAGCAGATCCAGTTTCTTTTATTTTCTATCTTAAGCTGATGGATTCTGAGAATTGTTTTGGTTTCATAGTGATATATGATGATTCGTTGACGGATGCCTTCATTGGAACATTTCTGCGTCTCATGGAAGCTAACAAACCGATAACCCTTTTGTTGACCATTGAAAGACGGTAAGTTTGACTGAAAGGAAAATCATTTCCTTATGATTCTAATGGTTTGTTTCTAACCCTTGCACTAAAAGTCTGCCTCAATGCCTGGTAAGCCTGGTAACCCTAGTTCAACCAGTTTTAACGGGCTTTTGAAAACGATAAGCAACATTGAAAGCCTGGTTAACCCTAGTTTCACCAGGCTTTTGAGGTAAACTTCAGACGTAACAAAACAACGAGGTTAACTGCAGGGACACGCAGCAAAAGAGTTAAATTCCATTTAATAAACCTCCCCGACTGAAAAGCATGCAGAGGTAGCTATTTAGGTACATTGTGTGTCTCAGGGACATGACATTGGAGTTGGTTTTGAATTAAACACTTTTAGCCGAATGAGTGCCTTTGCTATCTGACACCGTTCGTTATCTGATTATTGTTTTTAGTTTAAACTTCACCCTCGAGGAGCTTGCTGTGACATCCCCAGCATACAATTATTTTCTTAGCAGAATAAAAGAGTTGGAAACCAAAGAGCAAAGACTATCAACAAGAAAGCTTGACATAGACTTTCCCAACTACCTTCAGTACGAGAGAGTAAAGGAACTGGTAAACTTTGCCTTTCGCTTCTTTTTAGTAACTTGTACGTTATGAACAGCAGTTTAGCCTTGTTGAATGTAGAGAGAGCAACGGACAGCCCAGACTTTAGGGAAAGCACTTTCTAACATGCTATCTTTTATTCGTCTCATTTTTTTAGGAGCTGTGGGAAATTAAACCAGCTTGAGAAGAGAATGGTAGAGCCAGTGCGAAAGAAATTTTAGGAAGTCTATATTCGCTAGATTTACTGACCTGACCCTAAAATGTGACGAAGCACAATCTCGTACGAAGACGAAGAATTTTCCGAGTCTTTAGCAAAGATAGACTTTCCTAATTGTTTCTTGACATTTAGCCTTAAAATGTACGCGTATGCTCGATTTTACTCTCCCCTGGATAAAACCTTAAAAGAAGCAAAGACAACTAACATTGTTTCCGGCACAGCGAACGATCAGGCGGGCATTATGGAAAGAGTGAACTGAACCAAAGTGTTCCCCCAAAAATCATCGCGGTAGCTGGTAAGTTCTTCTGTAACTGATGACGTCTCTTAGTAGACAAAAATAGTAGTTTTTACGCTGACGCAGTATAGTATTACAGAGTTTTCACTCATCTGTGATTCAGTAATCTTTTTCTACGGAACTAATTTAAAAGCACCCAGAACACCTGGAAAAAAATCGTTTTTGTAAGGGATGTCCAGTAATCACAATTAGTCTTAAAATGGAGAAGTGAATTGGAGTAGTAGAGTGGTTTTCGTTTGAGTGTCGTAAAACCAAAACCAAAGTAATTACTCTGGCCAATCACATAGGACACAGACAATACATTGAACCAATCAAAACTCGAAGTAATTACATGTGGCTGACGCAAAGCGCTAGCGCGGGAAAATGCATGCGAGCGCGTCACAATTGGCTTTGGTTTTACTTCTGATTGGATGAAAAGGTGGCGCGAATCTTTTAAGCCAATCGCATCGTGTAGAAAGTGCAAAACCAATTACTTTTCGACAATCAAATGAAAACCGCTCTATATTGTTTTAGTGTTTATACCAAAAGTGATGCACAAGAAACCTTAGGGACGCAACCACATCGTTCTCAGCGGAGATCCGCCCCTTGCGGCGCTATATTGTAGCCACAGTTCTTAATATCCATTTTTCCGTCTCGAAAATGGATGTCGACGGGTAAATAGCAGCCTTTTCCAGAACAAATCAGGGCGTTAATTGAGCGAAATATTCAATTTAGTTCCCGGTTTCAAAAAACATTTTACATTTTTAATTTATGTCACGTACATCACTGTAAGTACTAATAAGTACTATATTTTGCTTCATATACCACACCTGAATTAGAGGACCGACGCCAGAAAGCCTGGTCACCCAGACCATTGAAGTGACCAATGAGGATCTGCAATACATCAAAGAAGCTGAGCGAAAACGTGCTGCACATGTGGAAGAATGAGAGCAACGTAGACGTGGCAAACGTTGTCCCAGTAACGACAGAAATATAAAGCAGTCTGCGCAGCAAGCCAACGAGCAACACGTTGAAGGAACTCATCCTCCGTCGTTACAGCCGCCTTCCAGCGAGGAAAATGTCACAGAGGAACACCAGGTTTAAAAAGTAGGGCAGCCAGCTAAAGACAAAAATGGTGTTCGAACCCTGCCTCCATTATCATTCATATAACAATATACCAAGTGACGCAGATCACCTTCCAGTGTCACCTGAGTTCGGAGAAGACTTGTTATCTGACCTAGTAACTTGTGATAAGCAATTATATAAATAGTGTGTTTACTTATGCATTCGCCACTTTAGAAAATACCATAATAATCTTTTTGTCCCCCTCAATATTTTGCACAAACATTGTTTTCTCTTGCGGGACGATTCTAAGTCCCAAGAGAAACCGAAAACAATGGTTATGCAAAATTTTGGGGGGAGAAAAAGATTATTATGGTATTTTCTAAAGTGGCGAATGCATAAGTAAACGTTTTATTAATTTTTCCCCATACAGTCATAATTTAATACAAAACTGTTATGATAGTCAGTATTGACATAAAGCATTTTCTCATGTTATTTCGCGCATATGGAGTCAGGTATCGTTATCTGCAAAATCCACATCTTTAGTATCTATTTGTTTTATTGACGTTAAATAAATTATATTTTTCCACGGTATGTAACCAGCACCATTGTGTTATCTCATGCTCCACCTACTTATTGGACACTGTGTATCAGTCGTATGCTCTCTAGAGCAATCTTTAAACCAGCTCCCACTAGAGATTGTCTAACAACTAAAGCGTTACAAGCCCTGCAGTGACATTTGCCAGGACATAGTTATGAGGTAAAGAACACTATGGAAACTACAAAGTTTTGGTTTTTCGAAATGAAAAGAAGTTCAGCAGATCTACAATGTCCCTGGTACTTCCGGTGGATGTCGTCTGTGGTTGTCAAGTTCCCTCAGCAAATCTATTCGTCTTCTTGCCCCTGTTGTTTCTCTTTGTAATCCAGATGCCAAGGAAATTTCCAGGGCTTGTTGAGCAACCCTGAGTCCTGCAATGACCGTATAAGGTTTAATGAGGTTGATGCCGCATTTTCTGTTAATTGTTTGTCGAAGATAACTATTGCTAATTTTAAGGATTTTTCTGTGAATATCCCTTTTTTTTACGGTAGGCCCGGGGGAGCCCATTTTCAAACATTATTTGAACATTAGTTCGAAGATGAAGGAGGCAAGGCCAACAACTAACATCACTGCTGCTCAATGGCGCGCGAGGTGAGGAAAGTTTTTAATCCGAACTGTCAGTATGATCATGTCAGTTTTTTAAAAGTCCTTCTACGTACGACGTATGAGGTTGGTGAAATTGCTGATGGTGATGATGCCCGCTGCCGGGTCGTGATCATAGCGATGTTGGTAGTGCTAGTGATTATGATAATGATGATGGCCGTGGTGATATTGCTGCGATATTGGAGACGCCACGTTGCTTATTAAAACAAATGCATTGCTCTAACCTCCATCGATATCCCTTTTCCTAATACAATAATCTGTCTTTCCGAGACAGAAAGTAGTTTTCATCCACTTGGAACAGTCGGGAAACAAATTCTCGAATCTCCCAATGACGTCACTTGCACGTGTCAAGCTTTCTTGAGGCACATTAACGTTGAGATCCGGTGCCGTGTTTGGTGATGACTTGAGATATAGCGAAATAAGTCTGTTGTATACACGAGGAAGTACTCGAATTGTCGTGTTAAGCTGTTGATACATCCAATGATCTGCTGCCTTTTGAAGGAAATTCTCTGCCTCTTTCTCTTCTGTTGAAGTTATTCCTATTGTGGCTGACCTTTCCATCGTTATTGCCCCAATATTGTAAAGCGCTATTGATGTATAAGTGGACGGTTCCATTGGTTCAAATATCTGTAATCAAAAATAGGATTCAAATTTTGGAAGGAGGTCTGCAAACGGGAAATACAAGACTCTGCCACACCACCCTTTTTTTTTTCTTGCAAGAAAAGCTAACATTGTTTAGTGGAGAGAGAATGTTGTATTTCCATGCCCACTCATAAAAAAAATGAAGCGTTGTCGACCCTAATAATTTGGGTGGACTGACCTGCCTCGCTGACGCAGGCGTTTCTTCGGATCTTCTGCGATAGTCGCGGCGCAAGGGGTCATTACGTAGTCACGTTGAGAGCCTTGGCTTGTGCCTTTGCGTTTTTGATGCTTTCCCATGATCCTTATGTCGCGACTACCATCGAAAATCCCAAGAAGCGCCTGGGAAAGAGGAAGTGGACCTGCAGCCGCTAACTTCTTTTCCACTAAACACACACATATTTATCGCAAAAAGAGTTAGACCTCACCTCCAAGGCGTCAATAAGGTGTTCTTTGGCACCATCTTGATTGCCAGCAAATCTCTCAGCGGCAGCATACACTGCAGATGCATAGCCTCTAATGGCGCGGTCATTTACACAGCTGAAGTGCGACGATAAACGGCACGCTCGTCTGGCGAGGCTGACTCCCTCCTCTAGCCTGTGTTGAATTAAGCACGCTACACCTTCCTTAAAAAAAAAATCACGATGAAAAAGTTTTCACTCTAACCATGAGCTTGTTTCCAGCCCTTAGGACTTAGACTATACTCTACACAATTAAGACTATCCTACGTGTAGCCGCACCCTAAATTAAGACCACCTCCCTCTCTTCCTCCCTCACCTATTCGGCCCTCCCAATCCTTGACAGACTTTGAGCGCGACAATAGGACCCGAATCAATCGGGTACTCAAGCAAACTTTCCCGTCAGTGCAAGTACAAGTTACGGGAGTCGTGTTTGCTAGCAACAAAGACACAAAAGGATAAATTCGCAATCTCTTCCCCGGGAACGAGGTTAATATACTTGGTAAAAAATTAGTCTTCTCTGACTTACCTCCAACAATACCATAGCCACTAGATCCTGATAATGTGGTCTTGTTTTGGCCCAGTTTTCTAGTATCAATCTATGTCTTCTGTAAACCTCAAATTCACCTACAGGCATAAAAATAACTGTGACGAAATATGATAAATTGCTATTTCTTTCTTGAAAAATTGTGCATTGAAAGAATAACCATTTTATCCAAGCTTTAAAATTTTAACGGTCATTAACAGCACTTTAAGCCTAACAGAGTCTTAGGGAAAAAAGATGACTTAGTGGTCCATTCAAGACACAAGCTATAAGAAGAAAATTAAAGATTCGAAGAAAAAGGTTGTACTTGAAATCCCAAAACACAGGTCGCGCATACGTTAAGGTTGTATTTGGAATTATCGAGGTTTCCAAACGAGTTGCCCGCCCACGACGGACAACCTGTTTTAATCGTCCCATCGTACAGTCTACAACATCAACTCTTGGTATAATAAACATTTTAGAACAACAAACTTCACGGTGCTTTCTTTACCAAGGCCACACCTTCGGGAAGGTGGTTCAACTGTGTTTGCAAATGGTAGTCATTTTTGTCCTTTATGGCTGCAATGCAATCCACTTATAATGGTTAACAGACCATAATATGGCATTTATCGTAAATTCTATTATTTAGACTTAGCCAGGGCTAAAAGCGAAGCTCCCATTAATAAATTTATGATTTAAATCAATCAATAAACTTGTAATCCACAAATCAGTTAACTTAAGGGCACATATGTGACTTTTTAGGGAAAGCTAAGGCTAAGTGATTTTAGAGTGAAAAAAAATCTTTCATCGAATTGATAGCCGGTATATATACACCCAAAAAATAGCAATCATCGTCGATCACATTTAAGAGCCATAATAGCTCTTGATCACAGTAGATTAGGCCTGGAAAACGAATTCATGGAAAAAACAAATCAGGCCGAATTTTTTGCGTTCGACAAGTCTACTTAAAAAAATCTTGCCAACAACTCTGGGAGCGTGTAAACCAACATTTCATACTTTTTATGCATCACATCTGAGGTGAAACAGTAATATGAGGCGCTGTTTTTATCATACAGACCTCAGACAAAATGCAGTATTTCACAATTTTTCAAGACAAATTGCACTCATTCAATATTCAGAACCGTACGAAGCACGCGTGGGCTTTTAGCAAAACCGTTCAAAAAATTTCCAAAATCACCTATACGGCCAGCCGGTTGTCACTTTTGACAAGCGCCAAATTTTCAGTGAACATTAAAAGAGTTACGCTTCAACATAATAAAGAATTTATTGTTTATTTTTTTTATTTAATGGTTTTATAACGATGTACAAACGCGCGCATTTTGAGTACTCCTGCAAGCGTTGTCTGTGAACGACTGAAAACAAACAGCAAAGCAATTGCAAGAGACTACTAACAATCAATAAAAGAAATGTAATTCGGTGAAACATTTACAGAGACAACAATTTTCATTCACGAAGACAAGTATTAAAGCGTCTCTAAAAATCCTGAGTCTTTACGCTTAAGCCTAAAGCTTTTAGCCGGCTTCCTGGTGTTTACTGTTTTCAGAGATGAACTCGAGGCAAGAAAATCGCTCAAAGCTTTCTTTCTACAGCCAAAATTATAACTAAATACTCTTCGGAACGTTTTTTCATTCTATATGCGGAGAGAAAATATCGACTAAAGGCTTTTTAAAGCTCTGTAAGCTTATATATACTAGATCAGATCATTGTCTCAGATCTTAATACAAACGTGCATAAATTAGCCTCATAAACTGCGCTCGACTTCATGAAATTAGATATAAAAAAACAAACATACACTGTATACAATAATTACTCAGGCTTACCATTCGAGATGCAGCTCTTGAAAGCTATCAAGTAAGGCCAGAATCGCTTGAGGGACTTTTCAACCCCGCATCCAGCAAGGTGAAAAACGAAAACGATGCATCCGAAATCGGATTTCCAACTTTGACAACCGGCGCATTTCCCAACCAAAAATTCAATAAACAAACCAGCCATTAATCAAAGAAGACTGTTGATAGCAGCTGTATTTCATTTTAAGCATCCAGTGGGAAAAGACAGTAAAAAACATCACAAGTTGACAAAATACTCTGTCAGCTTCAGCTGTCAAAGTAAACAAGGTTCAAGATGCTGTATAAATTTTTTGCATCAACTCACCTGTCAAATTTTGACCAATCAGAGCATAAAAATTGGACGGTCGTAGAGCGTGATCAACGCGTGACTATGGTGAGAGAAGTGAAAAGCCTCTGTCTTCCCTGCTTGTATTTTTAAATGATTGGCTGAAAATGTTAATAACGCAGGGCCATAGTGACATTAACACAATACTTTCTGTCATCATGTCATTATTTTGCTGCCGTTCTCTTTGCCTTTGTATTTCTCTTTCGCGTTGCCTTTGTCTGTTCATTCTAGCTCTGTCTCGTTCTGCTTGCCGGCGTTTTTCACTATAATTTTCTCTCCTTCTTCTCGCTCTGACTCTTTCTACTTGCCGACTTTCTTCGCTAAAATGTTGTCTTCTTCTTCTACTTCTAACGTGCTGTCTTTGGCGATCGTCTTCGCTTGTTCTACACGTGTTGACTCTTGCTCTCTGCCGTTCACCTTCTCTTTGCTCTCTGCTTAAAACCTGTGATCTACACGCTAAAATGTCTCCGCCGTTGTTTGTTGACATAATACCTTTCGTAAGTTGTAATAAAAAGTTATTAAGGCTCTGTCGAAAAATCTTTTTGCTAAGTTGCTTTGACATTTCTTTTTTCAAAACCAGTTGCGCGATATAATTGCGCGACGTTGCGCCATGCGATTTCCCGCCAAAAAATCTCTACTTCCTCCTACCCCAAGAGTCCATGCGGACTACTTTCCACTACCCGGAAAGTCCGTACGGACGGACGTACGTTGGCGTCATAACCAAAATTTCTCGGATGGGTAGTTTATCTTAGTTTCTTAGTTATGGTGCTCCGCTCGCGCGCGCTTCGCGCGCAAGGAGCTCCGCTAAAAACAATGAGATTTGGACTATAATTAAGAGACTAACAGAGTACTGGTCCCAGCTAAGAAAACTCTATATCTGTTTTCTACTGCATTTAATTATTTTATATTTACCATTGTCTGCCAAGTTCTCAAAGTGCATTATGATATTCCAACCAAAGTTAAACCGCAGCACTCCTGAAAGCGAAGTTTTTTAAAATTGAAAAATTCACAAAAAAACAACGAAAGTACATCGGTAAATTAAGGGTAAAAAAACAATCAGAGGAGTTACTAACTAAGATTGACACATGATGACGTATGATTTGTGCGAGCGTGTAAGATGCCCCTAAGCTAAATGACATCTTGTTTAAGAAGTAAAAGCATCTTTTGTGCCATTTAAACGAGAATTCGGCATCTCATTTGAGACGCGTCGTCTGTAAGACGCGTCTTATTTTTACCCGGGTAAATTGCGCTAGATCCGAGGTTTAAATAAAGATGTGCAAAGTATGTTTGGGTGATGTATGTGTGTGGTCTATGAACAATCGCACTAAGAAAAAAAGCGTAGAGTTAACTGAACTACAATCCTGGAAAAAAAAAATGGAAAATTTAAGCCCGTACAACCCCCAAATGAAAGATGGGAAAATGGCACGTTTTGTCGTTAACGCGGCTTCACCCTTGATTTCGCGGGCGGGATGAGGTGCCTTTTTCAGGCTGTTCCATTTTATTCAGTCCAAGATTGCAATCGCTATATCTTGAACAAAATAAATGGACAATTTAGACCCCCCCCCCCCTCCTCCCTCCCTCGGGGGTATGGGGGGTTGCTGTTCCAGTGTCCAAGATTCTTGATGCAAAGCTGATACCTCTTTACCTGTAAGTTTTATTTTCGGCAGAGGGTATTCCACTTCAAACAGATTTTCACTTTGTTGTAACCAAGAAACGCTCGCCTCCAGGAGGTTTATTCTAATGGTGAACACAATCTCATGACACAAAATGGCACCATCCTCCTTTGTAAGCTGTACTGTCGCATTGTAAATCATAGGAATATCGAGAGGTAAAAGGAAGGCAAACATACGAGCATACGAAGGAAGCCGATTTCCTCTGCTATCTGTCGCAAAGTTGCTAACAACAGCATTCCTTCGTGGATATACTGTCACGATCATCTTGTACTGTCCGTCATTCTGTGGAGATAGGGGAGAAATGTCACTCCTTTTGTAAACGAAGATCCTTTACAATTAATCGGCTCCTCAACAGTGTGTTAAAAGTCAAATGAAAACGCGAACATGTTTTTTATTTATTTCCTTCGATTTTGAGGGTGAAACGGAACTTTAATAAAATCAAAAGGGGACTTTTTGTGAAATCTTTAAGATAAGGCTACGTTTGACAGGCTTGTCTTTGAGTGGTGTTTAAGTCACAGACTCTAATCAAGTTAATTCATGGCAAATTAATATTGTTCTTTGACACAGTACGGTTGGTTAGCTGCTTAATGTAGTTTTACTATTCAGTAGCGTTAAAAAGGATAACCCTAGTACAGCTGTATCATAAAGAAGAAGGAAGAAGCGATAGTGTGATGCGTTTTCAATTACAAAGAAAAAGGATGAAAGTTAGTTAACATTCAACCAAAAATTATGTAACATAATAACAAAGGTATAGATCTTTACAATACCCGCGAAATATGCAAAATCACATCCCAAGAAAATTTCGTTGTCAACACTGTTTTGAATGTTAAAAGATGAATATATAGACAGACGAATAGACATGCAACCACGTAACGTCATGAAGTAAACTAATTTTCGCACCACAAAAGTTTACACTCATAATGCCACGTTAATGGCTACGTTTACACGACATGGGACTAATTTCACCCGTTTGAAAATTCGTTTTAGCTCACACGGAACCACCAAGACTTTCTCAAAGCCCGTTTCTGGTTTCTGTTGGTTAGATGCCAGTCGGGAAACTGTCAAACTTACGTCACAAACCATTTTTTCGCGCCAACATTAAGCAAATTAAATTCAATCTTCTCTGCAGACCGAACAAAATTACGTCGCTCGCAGTCGACTTGTGGCAAGGACCCCATACAATACTAAAACAATTGGAAGAGTGACATGTCATTGTTTCCTGCGGCTAATTGGGAGAGACCTTACGAGCAGCTCCTACACTACTCTGTCGCAAGTCTAGGAACCACGTTATCGGGGCGAAAATTTAGACGCGTATCCGTTCAAAGTTGAAAATAGCGAAAATTTAAAAAACGGTCCCGTGTGAACAAAGTATCCCGTCAAATTTTTCAACTGGTTGAAAATTCGTCCGCTACCATTTGAACGTATACTTAGCTTAAAACTTACAACAACAAGCTCATTGGCATTTGAGGATGTTATATCACAAATCCATATCTCCTTGCTTTGTCTAGAGTAAAGAGCCACAACACAGCAAACAGCTACCGCCCGTGGCTGTCCATCAGCTCTGTACTGCTGCCATGGTGTGGACATTCCTGGTTCAAATGCCACTGTTTGCTGAGTTCTGTATTGGTTTTGTTCTAACACTATAATTGTAATGTCTTCCTCACATATTCTGTGTGTTGTTGGAAGGTTCCCTGGCAAGGGAAAGAGACGAAGGGCATTATATGCATATAATTTGCTCTTGCGTTTCTATGGATTTCTAAGTTTTCCAGAACAATAACAACAATAGTAGTAAGACTGGTAATCCTCAAGTAAAACCTTTATCTCTAGACAATACAACTAAAGAAAAAGAGCTTTTGGATACAACCGAAACATGAAAAGTACGTAACCACGCCCAGACTGCGAATACAGCCAAACATTCAGAGTGATATTAACGGTCAAAACGTTTCAAGGTACTTTAATTCTCACTATTTCAACTGATATTTATGGACTTTCAGCAAATGAAAAATCTCTGAACTGGAAACACCACGGGCCAAGTTCTCAAAAACACTTGCTCTGAACATTAATTTACCTTACAATTTTCTTATATCTTAAAATATTTCGAAATTTAATTTGTGAATAAAGGCCAAGCAACATCCAAAACACAACAATTAATATCAATTTATACAGAATTTAATATTTACTTTTTTTCTTGGACTAAATTTTCCCTAAATAACCGTCAACCGTCAAAAGCCCTAAAATTTAGCCGGCAACCGTCAAAATTGGAAAAAAATAACCGCCAACCATCAAAGCTAGCACCCCATTGACACCCTCTTCTCTCCTTGTTCTTACACAGCGACAAAACATGACACATGACTCTCACTTTTTTTAAATTAACTTTTATGGAAAGATTTACTTTCAAATCTGTCGTTAGGAGCAATTTGTAGCCGCCGTAATGTCCCTCAATATTTCGTTTATAAAGTACGCAAAAATCGAATATCAAAAACATGATAACAACCGCTACAGAAATAGAGGGTGGTCTGCCTTTGATCATATTGAGGTATTCATGGCGGTCGAAAGTCTTGGCAAATGTTTACGTGCTCTACAAGTAGCATTTTCCGACCATTCAATCATAGTCGCCTAATTTTCCGACTTGTAATAAAAAAATCTACCCATGCCGCGATGCAGGTTTGCGAAGCAAAAAAGGTTAAACTGTAGTTTTCCGCTGGAAAATTCTTGTACTAATTTCAAACTCTGAGAATGATGTCATAATTTAAAGAGACAATGGGTTTTCCCCGAAAAAAAATTAAACTTACCTGAAAGCGAAAGTACTTGATTTTAAAATTCCGGAAACCAGCATAAATTAATATTTTGATTTGATGTGCTTTCAGTGGTACTTCGTACTTGAAAGTTTCTCTTAAGACTGTTTGAAACACTTACAGTCCGACATAAATGATAAAATAACAAATTTATGGAAGCTTTTCTAAGAAAACACCAAGAGACTTACAACAATGGCGCCCTCTTAACTAGTATTTTTAACCATGAATTCGCTATCAATAGTGCTGTGAACTTATAAGAAATATGTTTAACGACTGAGCAGCATATGAGCAGAAATAATTTTAAGTAGAAGCCTTACCTGCATTGTTGTGGTTCCTTAACGCCATTTGTATCCCATGATATCCTAAACCTATTCTGGAAAGGTCGCGTGTGTCAGATGGACTTCGTTGATTCCGACAACGATCGGCTTTAACCGTACTTTTTAGTCAGAAATGAATTCGTTTTTCGTTTCTGTTGGCAGATCAGCATGGAAATGTACTATTTAAGGGGAAATACTTTGCTTTTTGGAGAACTGAAAACACATGACTTATTATCGCTGAAGCGATTGTCTTTGGCCGCGAGCCACCTGGACCCAATGTCACGCGAAATTTGCAATTCTTATTGCATTTCATTAAACCAAAAATACGTCTTCGAAGATCGCTTTATCACCCTGAATATAGAGAAAAATTAATGGAGAGTATGGAATGCCATTGGCACGATGAAGTGGTTTTTACCGCTTCTGCCAGAATCCTTCTAAGGGCCGGGTTGTTCAAAGCTGGGTTAAGATAACCCAAGGTAAGTGCGAAAATTTGAAATCAGATATGAAAGCATAAAAAGCAAATTCAGTTAAATTCTTTTTGCCTACAATTTGATGATTGCCCACTCTAAAAAGAATAGAGAAACTAGCTAGAGAAAATACTTTTGATGAAAAGGAAAAGAGACGCGGGGAAAAATTTAACCCTGGGTTAGCGCTAATCGGCCTTCGAACAACTGGGTCCAGCAACAACTTTCAGTTCTTTATTCATCACAAGTGTGTTTATAATGCTCTGAGGTTCCCAGGTTAATATCGTCGGGTTCGTTCTAAGAGATTGAGTTGCAGTGGTGTTTACCTGTTTTTCAAAATGTACCAGAAGTAAATTCTCCAACGGAAATGTTAGCGCTCTATAACCCAAGTAAGAGAAAGCGCTGTGCAAATTGTTGAACGAGTAGGAGAGAACCCTGGGAACGAGGTACCATCACAGCCTCCTCGGTATATGGGCCTGATCTGCACACTGATCTTGGCTGGCACGTCTCAATAATTTGACTTGTTTTACTTGTTGGTTTAATCCTAGCTAGGGATCACCAGATTAAAGTATGACAAAAAACGAAATGGATTCTACAAATAGGGGAGAGAGAAAAACAGAAAGAGAAGATGTTCGTTTGTGTTACAAGACACTGATCCAAGAAAAATATGGATAGGTTCCTTCACGGAACGATTATCAACGCGACGCGCCAAACACAGAATCGCGACATTGTTGCGTCATTGTTTCAGATGGTTGCTATATTGTTCCAACATTATAACATGTGTTGCGCTCAATTCGTCGTTGCAAATCGTATCGTGTAACAAATTCACCTTTAGGGTATCAATAGGGCCATTTATACGAAGAAAAATAAGACGCGAACTTTCCGTATAAACGGCACATTACGTCTAAAATAAGACGCGGCTTAGCTAAGACGCGTCTTATTAGATAAGACATGCTCGTATAAATGGTACAGTTCGCCTCTTATTTAAGACGCGTCTTATGTAAGACGCGTCTTATTTTTCCTTGTATAAATGGCCCTAATGAATCGAAAATAGAGGACCTTGTAAAAACGTAATCCCGTTTACAGGCCTAATATTTTTTTAAAATTAACTTCCCACTGCCCGAATCTTATCTTCTTACGCAGAATTCAGAAATAATCATGATTCTGTGTATGCCTGCGCATATACTATTACTTTTCAAAAAAATATATAAACCTTGCAAAGAAAAGACAACAGAGATATTTGGCTGTAACCTTAAACGCGGTCAGACGAGCGAAATGTTTTTTTTAAAAAAAGCTAACTAAAGGTTGGTACTATCACTATTTATAGTTTAATATAATAACCAGTGCGCTATTACTTTACTAAACTTTGTGAAAGTTCAGGAAATTCTGAGTGTCTGAAAACTGAAAGTGGTGTTTAAAACTGTCGGCACCATTTTGTCAATATCATTTTACTCGCAAAAGTAGTTCAGTCATTATTTTGAGAAAAATGCTAAGATAGTTACACTAACTTATTGTTTTAAACATCCTTGGCCATGTTTTCGTTTAGTGTTGCATGAATCCCCACTTCAGAATAAGCAAACACTGCCACAGATGTTAAGACCCGTTTAAAAACGTCCAAATTTGCAAGATGTCTGTCAAAGTTAAGGTAACCATAGTAATCTTTATGACTTCCACTTTTTACAACGGGCCTGTGTTTGATAACAGATCGAGTGCAATTTCTGAGTGGACAATCTTCCCGTAAAATACATGAGTTTAAGTTGTAAAGCCTTTTATCAACAGCCAGCATCCCTCTGTTCACGTTAAACGGCATACCATTGTGATGCTAATGAAAAAAAACTTCTCGGAAAGGTGATGCAAGAAGCAAGTAAACAAAACAAAATGTTATTCCTGTAAAGGTCGAAATGCCCCTGAGCAAGAAACTCGTAAGGCGTTCGAATGAGCTTCTAGAAAGCATCTATTCGTGGGCTAAGAAGAGAGTGGAAACTGTTCAAGTTTTGCGAGGACTGGCCGATGAGCTTATGGGACATGATAAAAATGTCCACGTCGCTAAAGTTTCTGGATCGTCGTTCTCCATCGCTGGGTTTGTTTTAATGGCAACTGGTTTTGGCCTTGCTCCTGTTACTTTGGGAACTTCTACGATCCTCTCAGCTGTTGGTGGAGCAATGTGCGCTGCGGGTGGAGCAACTGCTGCTGGTTCAGGCCTCGTCGGAAGTAAAATTTTCAAAACAAAGCTTGCCAACGTACAGGAAATTATTGAAACCGATCGCCAAGCACAGGAGCCTGTGGAAAAGCTTTTAAACGAGCTCCATCGTGAAGTGTCTGAATTGTCTCGTGGAATTGCCCTGGATTGTCTTAGTTACCACAAAAACTTAGCTGTCTTGATAAAAAACCTGGTGGATGTGGGTAAATGTGCGAAAGCTGGCGGGAGGGCAGCTGCAACAGCAGCGGGTGAAGGTGTTGAAGCAGTTTTGAGGTCCATTGGAATAGCAGGCAACGCTGCTCGCATTGGTGGGTTCGCTATAAGTGCAGTATTTTTGCCTGTTGATATCTATACTTTAGTTACATCAGCGATGAAGCTTAACTCTCATGGCAAAGAGGAACCACAAGCTGTAAAGAAGCTAAGAGATCTGGCAGATGAATTGGAAAGAGAAATGATCGAGATGCTTAAAGCTGTACGCGATTTCAAGGGTACTCCTTAGAACACTTGAAAAACGAAGATAGGAACCTTGCGAGGTAGTATTGTGAGTCTAATTTTATGAACATGAATCCTGATTTTTTTAGCCCACTTTCAGTCAAACGGATTTAATTTGCTAGATTAATCCATGTTTTAAACCACAATAAAAAGAGATCATTAGGCGATGGTCTAAGACCACTGAATTTAACAGCTTACAAAATCGGTGTTTCTACATCGATTAAAACCAAACTCTAAACCGTAGAATGTATGTGGAAGCCATTTAATAAAGTTTGATTGATTGATTGTAATGTGCATGCTATGATATGACTGGGAGACGATAATGTTCTTTGGCTTTAGCATTTTTCCCCAGTGTTGAGTTAAGTTTTCTTCAATGGAGTTACTTCACCCCACCTACTTTGTTTACACTGGTGGAACAGCATAGTTTCTGATCTACCTGATTATTGGATAGTCGATGGTAGAATAACAGCCAGGCGTATGCATTATTTACTTTGTCTGAAAAATTTAGGTAGTCATGGTAAAGGTTTCAAAGTTTATTGTCTAAAAGAAAAAAACGTCACTCCAACGCAAAATGTTTATAATCAAAGTATTTGAGTGGAATCTCGATGTAAAGAACCTCCATATAATGAAGTCCTCGGTATAACAAACGATTTTCTTTACACCAGTAATAGCAAAATATATGGAAAAGAACCTGAATATAACGAAACCTCGTTATAGCGAATAAATTTTGCCAGTCCCTTGGCCCTTTGTTATATTGAGGTTCCACTGTATTTGTGGGAAGAACGTGACACTTAGTGAACGACGAACTGGGATACTGACTTGAAACATAAATTTCTGCCTCATAAATGTTGGGCGTAATGTCTGTAATACGATATTTTTGATTCGGACACTAATGAATGGCACTGAAATATTTTAAAGTGGATTGTGCCAAAGATTTGTACTTAAAGATTTCATTTTTATTCAAATAAACACATAATAAGACTTGGTAAATATCGCAAAAAAAAAAAGCCTTACATCTTTACCCGCCTACAAAGAATCCCTATACCTAGAACTTGACTCCTGCAATAACAATGGAACACACTGTAACAAAGTAAGGCATTCCCTTTCCTAAAAAGTGGATATAAGAAATGAAAAAGGTAACTATGGGAAACTGCCCACCTACCCCTCCCCTAAGCCAACATTAACAGTTATTTCTCACTTAGGGCAAAATGTTAGCTTAGGGGAGGGGTATCTGGGCAGTTTCCCAGAAACTTACAATGATCCACTATTTGGATATGGCAAAACAGTATTACTGATAAGTTTGTCATGACTGGATCATGAAGACTGAATCAATAACTCGCACCAACTGCCCTGCTGTGCTGAAAAGTGGCCAAAACGACATATATACAGTCCACGGTGCTTAGTTACAGGGGGAACCCAACGATCGAAACTTTCCAAACAAGCCCGAAATGTCTAAAGTGCATTTCTCGATGCTTTAGCCTGTTTCGTTAATTTGGAGCTGCCCTAAATACTATCTATCTGTTCGGATGTTTTAGGGGAGCTTTGGCCGTCTCGAAAGTTTTAGCGATCCCGAAAAGTCTGGTCGAAACTTTGAGGACACGGAGTGACCAGTACTTTCGTTAGAAAATTTTAGGGGACAATTTTTCTTGATACCGAAATTTTCAATTGACCTTTAAACCAATAATCGCCAATTGTGAAAAATCCGCTTCCGAAAATCGGAGGAGAGTTGATAGAAAAACTCCGAATATCGTATATGAATGAAACGGTTATCCAGAAATTTTTAGCCTTTCTTGTGCTATAGAAATTTTAAGGCAATATTTGCTCCTTAGTGCCGATGGTAGGAACTTGGCGATTATGATTTATTCCAAGCATCGTCAGTCTAAGTCTAGGACTTAAACTTTTTATAATACAATGTACGTGTATTAGAAATTTATTTAGATTTTCAACATTATCTTAAGCCTTTGTTAAAAAACCTTTTTTTTTTTACATTTAGATTCATTTTTTGGAAATACTGCAACGTTCCTCATATGATTTTTAAAAATTGTCTATCAAGTATCTAACTGAAAAATAGCAAAATAGCTGGCCTATCAACACAGTCTCCCCGCCCCCCAACCACCCATCGTGACATCATACTTTGGCCTCCACATTGCGACTTGAAAAAACGTTTTCTAGTTTTTGGAGTCAATCGGACAAATAATAATACCAATAAAGCACGTTAAACAAAGTAAAAGAAAATGGAAACAAGAACCGGCAAGTGTAATCAACGATTTTTCCGTAGTTACATGAGGAGCATCGTCTTGAACCTTTCTGAGCACGCGCAGGAGACACTTCAATCATCTCATCCTCTGCATCGCCCTGAGCTGGTTCGCCATTACTTGAGTTAGTACTCTCGCGTTGTTTCAGAGCGATGTTTTCCACTCTTGGCGCATCCTGAAAGTCATAATTAATAGTGAACAGGACGAAAGAGGGAAGAAGACGGCAAAACCTGTGGGACAAGCGTGACAATAATTTTGTTTGATATAACTTTTCGCCAAACTTCATTTTCCATTAAACAAATCTTTTCGTTTAGGACCAGAAAATATTAATGTTAAATGAAGATCTCGACAAAACACGGAAGTAATAGCCCTGTCACGTTTGTCACATACAAACGTTTTGCCGTCCTCTTCTTCCTGCCGTCCTGTTGCGCAAACTCACTAATATTAATCTTTTAAAGTTAACCCTATTTATACCGGGCAGTTCTTTTACCCCTTTATGAAAAGAGAATTATGGGACAAAGATGGAAACGCCCAGACTTGCCCTTAGGATATATGAGTTTCAACAAAGTTATTTTTAGACTAATCAAAAGCTTCAAATAAAAAGGAAGTTGATTTCCGGAGAGGTCCGCAAACTTCTATTTAGTGTTGTCAAGAGAGAATAAAATAGTCGCCATTACAATATTCTGCATTGTTTGCTTTGAGGCATTCGCGCGTGGACTTCATGACGTTTCCAACAATCAACTGCTCACCTACCCCTCCCTTAAGCCATCATTATCACTTAGTTCTCAATCAGGGCAAAAAGTTGGCTTAGGGGAGGGGTAGGTGGGCAGTTTCCCAGAAACCTAAATTGATCCAAATGTTCGACGTCTCTGCAGGAATTAGACTTCCGCTTAATTACAAACTCTAAAAAAAAACTTTAGTGAAATTCACATTTCCTGGCCAACTCCCTAAGATTTCCTCCATTATACTCTCTTGCTTTTACCGGATCATATTAACCTTTCTGGGAAACTGTCCACCTACCCCTCCCCTAAGCCAACATTAATACTTACTTCGATTTAAGGCAAAATGTTGGCTTAGGGGAGGGGTAGGTGGGCAGTTTCCCAGAAAGGTAAAATGATCCCTTTTTTCTTGGGGTGGGGTGAGGAGGGGGGAGGGTCCGAAGCCCACCCCTACTCTCAAGAAGCCAAAGAAAAAAGCTCGGTCTAGACATCGCGTTGCTAAACACGCAAGCAATTTTACTGAATTATTGCCCATTAGGGAGTTGTTGCGGCACTCACTTGTTTAATTTTCTTATGAATATGGGCGAGTGAAAGAACCCTTTAGACTTGAGACTAGTTTAACTTTTAGCTCACTTGTTTTTGTATTATTGATAGTGCTTAACCCTTTAAGCCCTAAGAGTGATGAGCATCAAATTTCTCCTTGTAATATCAATGCTTTGTAAAACAGAGTGTTCATGAGAATTACGGACATGATCACACAAGATGAATAGGCCACTTGCACTAAGAGGTCACGTGACCAATGCTTCCTTTAAACAATGAGTTAGAATCTTGCTAATGCGAAAAACTGACAGAGCACATAAAAATTATCTTACACCCGAAATTTGAGAGGAGACGCATTTAAGGGAGATATTTTATGGCACTTTGATTTTTCAACAAAGTAGTATGATTCGTATTGGCCTCCAACATGGTGGCCAACACTACTTTTTGCTCACATCTTGTTAAACGTTTGATAGTTACCCTCAGATGTGTTGTAAACGTTACCACATCATCTTCTCAACATTTTCCTTGAAGTTTAAGTGCAAAATTTGTGTTCAGAAAGAGGTAATTCATAATTTTAAAAATCACATTTTGGTCACGTGACCATTTACGAAGTTACTCATTTTAAGAAAATGGTGCGGGTTTGAAAAACCAAATCACTATTATTTTGTTTAAGATATGACCCACGAGTCGTTTTTCGAAGGCAAAATCATATAACTTTCATTTTCATAAAAACGATGTCACATGGCCTCTTAGTGCAAATGGCCTATTTGCTTGATATTTTATCAACTTCTCCCCACTACTTGTGTAGGAAATGAATAGGGGCAACAAATGAGAATTCAAATTTTTTGATCTTAGTGTTTAAAGGGTTAATGAAGGGGCTTCCCAGTTTGTCTGTAAATAGCAGCTGCAAGACCATCATTGAATTTAATTTCAACAACAATTCGTTATGCCCACCTGAAGATTATTTATGGTGCTCATTTCCAAATCCAGGTCTTTCCGTTGCACGCTGTTCTTGGAATCTCGATTTCTTGGACGCAAAATGTACACCAGGATGCACTCCATCAAAACCAGGAAGACAAACAGAAAAGACCCGATGAGGTACCAGTCAATGGCCTTAGGATAACTAACACGAGGTAGCGACATGTTTACGGAGCCCAACAGAAACATGATAGTCAGTATGGTTGTGATACCCAAGCCAACTCTATCACTCGTGTCTCTTGGGTCCAACCAGAACACTATCCAACTCATCACAACCACAAGGGTGTTTGGGAAAAACACTTGGATAATGTAATAACCAAGGCGTCGTTTAAAGTAAAAGCTGATGATAAGTACGCTGTAATTACCTATGGATTTGAGGAACACTTAACACTTGGTGAAATGAACGAGACCCTGCTTTAGGCTGCGTGCAAACGGACGCACGGGGGTTTATAGTTCATTTATGAGCTTACTGTAACCCACCCATAGCCAATGATATGAATGATGCGTGATGCTTG